AACCAGCCTGTGGTCCCGGGTGAGATGGCCCGCCGCCGTCGCCGTCGCCGCCGCCGTCGCAGCGTTTGAATCTTCTGACAACAGCACCTTTTCTCTTGTTTTCCCAGATGCACTCTCTGTCGTCGCAGTCCCGCTCACAGTTCAGCTGTTCCGCTTGCGACCGCTCCTTTCCCCTTCTCTCCTCGCTCCTAACCCACCAGCACTCCCACACCCCCGAACAGCGCCTCCTGGCAGAGGCAGAAGCTGAGATCGTTTGCCCTCCGTCCCTCTCCCTGTCCCTGCCTCTGCCCTCTTCTCCGAGCCACGCCGATAAGCCCCAGGAGGGCGCGGGGCAGATCCACGTCAACATCATCGCTGTCGCTGAGGAGCAGGAGGAGCAGGAGGAGCAGGAGGAGCAGACCACCAAACCCACCAAGACCACCAAGAAGACGGGGCCCAGTAAGAGTGGTCCTGCTGGAGGTAGTCTCACACAGGGAACAGATGTTTTCATTTGAAGGAACTTTTTTACCCTTTTAACTTCTCACAGAGCAGAGTGGTTGTCACGGCAACAACAACAACAACAACAACAATAATAACAACAACAATAACAACAACGACAACAACGACAACAACAACAACGAGTGTTTATTAGAATGACTGTCAAATACAATGCTGTTTCCAACACTGTTCCACAGAAAGACCGTACCGCTGCTCAGAATGTGGGAAAGCCTTTAAAGGTTCATCAGGGCTGAAGTACCACATGAGGGATCACACAGGGGAAAGACCCTACCGCTGCACCGAGTGTGGGAAGAGCTTCAAAAGGTCCTCATTACTCTCCATCCATCAAAGGGTAAGACTGACTTCTCTGTAATAAATTCTCAGTTGTTAATTGGACACACACGAGTTGGGAACGGAACGCCATCATTTCGTCATTGTGGAAGTCTACAGTTTTCTCGTTTACTGGGTTTGTGGCTTCCAACTTCAGTACACACCCCGACACATGTATGACCGCGGTCGGCAAAACAAACTCCAAACACAGAACAAATAAATGTGTTCACGGAGACTCCCATCCACAGATGAACAACAATAATAATAACAACAATCATCATTGATCACCAGGTCCACACGGGTGTGCGGGCGTTCCAGTGCCCTCACTGCCCTCTCACCTTCAAGTGGAGCTCTCACTACCAGTACCATCTGAGGCAGCACACCGGTGAGCGGCCGTATGTGTGCAAGGAGTGCGGCAAGACCTTCAAGAACACCAGCTGTCTGCGGCGACACAGTCAGATGCACTCAGGACTCCGACCTCACACCTGCCCCATCTGCTCCAAGTCCTTCTCCCAGACGTCCAACCTCAAACAGGTCGGTTTGGTCGGGAGTTGGTGACCTGGTGTTGGCTTCAATACTTGATCACAACTGTTTCTCTGTGTTGTAACCATTTTGTCCCCCCCCCCCCCTCCCCCTCTCTTTTTCTTTGTTCCTCCGTGAGCAGCACGAACGCACCCATTCCGGCGAGCGACCGTTTCAGTGCACACAGTGCAACAAGAGCTTTACTCACTCTTCCAACCTTCAGCTGCACCTACGAACACATTCCTCACACAAAGACTTCAAATGCCCCTACTGCCTGAAGGGCTTCGTCATGCCCTCCTACTTACAGAGGCACATCCGTACCCACGGCACCGGTGCTTCTCTGCCAGCCACCAAAGATGGCGCTAAAGAAGGTGTGTCAGTCAAGGCCAGTGTTGGAGGCGTGACCACCACCACCACCCTGATCAACCCCATCACCCTGGAAACCTCAGGAAACAGTGGAAGCTTGATTGTGTCGCAGCCGGCGCTGAATATCCCCCCGAACACCTCCCAGAACTACTTCATGGTTCAGACGGCCAGCGGGCTGCAGCTCATCCCTCTGTCGAGCCCCGCCCCTCAGAACTTCCTTCTTTTGCAGTGCCCCTCTGGTAACGGCAGCCAGTCCACCTTGATTCTCGTCCCAACAACAAACAAACCTGCGGCAGCACCGGAGCCTCAGAGCCTCCCCGTCCTCCAGAACATCCTGAACCAAACACCAACTCAGATGCACCAGATGCAACAACAACAACAACAACAACAACAAACTAGGATTATAATCTCCAACAACAGTAACAACGCCAACGCCGCACCGACACACACGCTGACCACTAACTCAATGCTGACCACTAACTCAATGCTGACCACTAACTCAATGCTGACCACTAACTCAATGCTGACCAAGCCCATTTTAGGGAAAAGCACAAGGACAGCACGGAGCAGACGGGGGCCCAAAGCTAAAGCTGCTCTTCAGAAGTCTCCACCCCCCCCCTGTCATGTGACGCAGAGACGTGTCACCGACAACACTGGGGCCAACGGGTCTGTTTCTCTGACCACACCTCCTGCTACCGTCTCACCATGTGCCACCTCCACCTGTGTGGCCCCCCTGGTGGACACCTCAGGGCCCCCATCAGCTGCTGAGGCGGTTACACCAACAACCGCAGCGGCCACAGCGTCCGTGTGTTCTCCCGCCCACAGCGGGAGGACGGAGGAGAGCTCTGCGGAGGAACAACTTCTTTTATGCTTTGAAAATAAAGAGCCGGCGAAAGAAGACATGAACCCCGAGAAGAGCCAGGACGCCTTTGTGTTCAAGTTTGAAGGGACGGCGTCGGCTCGGGAAGTCGACGGGAGCCCGGGCGGAGGGGAGAAGTCCCTGCTGATCCAGTTAAAGCCAGGTGTGGAAGGAGAGGGAGGAGCAGGTCAGAATAAAGGAAGGATGATGTCACTACTGCAGGACTGGGGCGGTGACCAGCCCAGCGGCAGACCTGCGGGTCAGGAGGGCGGCCAGAGGAAGGCCTACATCCTTCACTTCCACACTGAGGCTCCGGACGGCGGTTCATCCAGCGGATCCTTCGGCCAGGGTCAGGACGACAGCCTTCGGCTCTCCTGCACGCCCCTCCAAGGGTTGGTGCCTTTCGGCCAGCAGGAGGTGGTGTTTGAGTTGGGGGCGGAGACAAAAATGCAACAGGAAAATCACCAGGGCGTGCACATGATAGCCCTGATCGACGGTGAGAATCCCATCATGGGAGACGCTGGCACGGGTCGCCACGCTGAGAATGAAGGAGGGAGCGTTGGTGAGGGCGGGGGAGACATGGAAAATATATTTCAGCTGGAACACGGGGAGGAAATTGTCATAATTGAGGTTAGCACCAGCAGTTTAGGGGAGGGGAGGATGGAGCAGGGAGGGGGGGAGGACAGCAGCGAGGTGAAGTACGACGGCGTTACTGCGGAGGTAAACCAAAGGTCTGGACACCAACACTGCTCCTCAGTTGGTACCGAACCTCAAGGATCCAATGAGCACGCCGCAAAAAGTTGACCTACATCTGACTGCAAAGTGTGTGTGTGTGTGTGTGTGTGTTAACGTGAGGAGGAGAAGGCGGAGAGAATGAATGTGTGTTAGCACTTTAATAAGTCTGAGTTCTTCTGCAGTGGAGAGAAGGTGTATTTGGAGTATTTAGTGTAATCCCATGGTGCCACGTACTAGAAATGTTATACATTCATGTGGGTTCACCTGGACCTGAGAGTCAGATCATGACGTCTGTCACAGAGTGAACCAATGTTTAATACATGTGCTGTGAATAGCCTTCGCCATGGTAATAAAACCTTAATTTATCAACGTGTTCCTGCTTCTTTGAACAGACTTGTGGCTCATCGTGGTACTACAACAGCCTGACACAGTCCAATGATATTCAACAGCATTCAAAAATATACATAAACTCATGGAGTTTAAAGCCTGGCTCGGCGTCAGGACCAGGACTTCCGGTCTGGTCCTGGTTTGTAGTTCATCATTTAAAGGTTCGGTGTTTGGAGTACATACAGTACAGCGTCACCCAGCGGTGAAGTTTCCACCTTGTTGTTTTGTTTCTTTCTTTTTTTGGTACAAATGGACTCGGTTTTCTCTCCTGAAGTGAAGACCAAGTTCTGGAAAGATTTTTATTTTAAAAATGCGACGAGAAAAATGATCAGTTCACGTTTCATATCGTTGACTACAGTTCTGTCCTGTTTTGACCAGAAACTCAACGTTAACCCATCGACTTGATTTGGGAATCTGTGGAATTTAGCCACACGGTTAAATAAATATTCAACACAAATAAACAAAAGCGGAACTTTAATCTAACACTAAAATAAATAGTTCAATAAACGTTATTTATATTTTTGACTTGAAGTGAAGTCACATTAAACCTTTAATGATTCAATACAACTTTAAAGGTATATTTTAAATTACTTTGTCGCTTTAAATGCCGCGTGACGTCATTACGGAAAGTACGTACGCTACAAACGTAGACCGCGGAGACATAGACGTTTTGAGGGGCTGAAGAAAGAGTACGTTGGCATAGAGAATTCCTCCTTTCTTAACGGGTCGGCGTTAACAACACGACTGCGCTGCTTTAGCTACGACAGGCCTCGTTCGGTTCGTGTTCTGTACGTGTGAATTGTAGCGGTGTAACAAGGTAAGAGGGGCCGATGTTAGGGCGTAGATCTGGGCTGTAGCAGCAGACCGCAGTCCCTGGCGTTAGCCGTATAAGGTTGTGACTTGAAGACAAAAAGTCAAATTCTATTGGTTGTCAGGTTCCACGGGATGGTCATATAGTGACGTCACTGTTTATTACTCGCCAACTGTATAAACATAATAAAAACACGCAGTGGTGATTTGATCGGTCTGTATCAGTGTCGTCACTGAGGGTTTGATAATTGCTCATTAATTAAACCTTGTGGTGAAATAGAGTAAACTTCAAAACAAATCTTTCTTCATCATTTAGTTGTAATGGTTTTATTTCTCCTGTTTTACTCAAACATAAACTGAAGATGACGTTCTTCAACACGTGTCAGTTGTTTTAAGGTTCAAATGTTTTGACTTTTTTTAGGATCCAAGAATGGTCAGAGTTGAACTGGGTCGGGTGGTGATGAGGAGGATGGAGGAAGATGACGTAGAGGTCGTCAAAGCCCTCATCAAGGTGCGTTCAGTGTCACGGTGCAGGTGTCTCGTTGTTATGTTTACGTTTGTCACACTGTTCACGTCGGTACGTTCTAGAATCCACCGTCTGTTTTCATCCACGTCTCTGCAGGAGGGCTGTGAGGGAACGGAGAATCGCCTCATCCTCCACATCCTCACCCGGCCGCTCTGCCTCTTCATGTTGGCCGTCCTCTCCTCACTTCTACGCTGCCTCGTCCACTCTTTCATTCTGGCCCTCGCCATTCCTGTCTTCCTGCTAACTGTCTATCTGAAAATCACCACGCCACGCTCCACGGGCGTTCTGGGCAGCCATCGTCCGTACTGGGACTACGTGGGCAGCAGTCACCGGGGGACGCGGAAAGACACGCTGCCCAACCCCCACGCTAGGAGCAGCAGCCAAAGTCTCCCAACAAACAGAGTGAGTCTACAGTCAGACGGCTGCAGTCAGGCGGCTGCAGTCAGACGGCTGCAGTCAGACCGCTGCAGTCAGACCGCTGCAGTCAGACGGCTGCAGTCAGGCGGCTGCAGTCAGACGGCTGCAGTCAGACGGCTACAGTAAGACCGCTGCAGTCAGACGGCTACAGTCAGGCGGCTGCAGTCAGACGGCTGCAGTCAGACGGCTACAGTAAGACCGCTGCAGTCAGACGGCTACAGTAAGACCGCTGCAGTCAGACGGCTGCAGTCAGGCGGCTGCAGTCAGACGGCTGCAGTCAGGCGGCTGCAGTCAGACGGCTGCAGTCAGACCGCTGCAGTCAGACCGCTGCAGTCAGACGACTACAGTCAGACGGCTGCAGTCAGGCGGCTGCAGTCAGACGGCTGCAGTCAGGCGGCTGCAGTCAGACGGCTGCAGTCAGGCGGCTGCAGTCAGACGGCTGCAGTCAGACCGCTGCAGTCAGACCGCTGCAGTCAGACCGCTGCAGTCAGACCGCTGCAGTCAGACGGCTGCAGTCAGGCGGCTGCAGTCAGACGGCTGCAGTCAGGCGGCTGCAGTCAGACGGCTGCAGTCAGACCGCTGCAGTCAGACCGCTGCAGTCAGACGGCTACAGTCAGGCGGCTGCAGTCAGACGGCTGCAGTCAGACGGCTACAGTAAGGCCGCTGCAGTCAGACGGCTACAGTAAGACCGCTGCAGTCAGACGGCTGCAGTCAGACGGCTACAGTAAGACCGCTGCAGTCAGACGGCTACAGTAAGGCCGCTGCAGTCAGACGGCTACAGTCAGGCGGCTGCAGTCAGACGGCTGCAGTCAGACCGCTGCAGTCAGACGGCTACAGTAAGGCCGCTGCAGTCAGACGGCTACAGTAAGGCCGCTGCAGTCAGACGGCTACAGTAAGACCGCTGCAGTCAGACGGCTGCAGTCAGGCGGCTGCAGTCAGACGGCTGCAGTCAGACGACTACAGTCAGACGACTACAGTCAGACGACTGCAGTCAGACCGCTGCAGTCAGACGGCTGCAGTCAGGCGGCTGCAGTCAGACGGCTGCAGTCAGACGGCTGCAGTCAGGCGGCTGCAGTCAGACGGCTGCAGTCAGGCGGCTGCAGTCAGACGGCTGCAGTCAGACGACTACAGTCAGACGACTACAGTCAGACGACTACAGTCAGACGACTGCAGTCAGACGGCTACAGTAAGACCGCTGCAGTCAGACGGCTACAGTCAGACGGCTTTAGTCCAGACCATGTGGCCTACAGGGTCAGATCTAAGTGCTGGTTCCACACATTAAAACCAGGATTTTGAACTTGTAATTAAGGAAACGGTTTTGTCATATTATTGGACTTTTTTTTTATTCTTTTCTTTCTTTTCATTTTCAGTCCAAAAACAAAGCAGCATCCAAAGACAAGGACAGAGAGAGGTCAGCAGAGAAGGTCTCCCCAGAGAGGGAACAGGCAGCTGGTCAGGTTTGGGTGGCCGAGTGCGAGGGGGAGATTCTGGGCTGCATCTTCAAGGAGAGTGACCAGCGAGCGGGCACCAGGAGGATCTGCAGGTTGGTGACGGGCTCCTGGTATCGCAGGGAGGGTCTCGGTCGCCTCCTGGTCCAGGGTCTGGAGCACAGAGAGAGGGAAACTGGGGCACGCAGGATCTATGCCCATGTACCCTACCCCTCCAAGGTGGGGGAGGTCTTCTTCAGGAAACTGGGCTACCAGCTGCTGGGGGAGAGGACTGGGGAGGGGGAGGGGGAGGAGGAGGAGGAGGAGGAGGAGGAGGAGCGGGAGCTGGAGCTGGAGTCTCCAGAGCGAGGTTTCCTTGGACACGCAGTCACAAAAGTCTTCTTCAAAGATCTGAGCGACAGAAAAGTCAAGTGAAAGTTAGTGTGTGTGTGTGTGTGTGTGTGTGTGTGTCAGCTGTGACCTTTGGTGTTTGTTACATTATTTATTATCTGTTCATGTGTTTCCTGGATTTTTCTGTATTTTTGTTGTTTTTCAATGATGAAAATATTTATTGTATTTAAATGTTTCACAACTGGTTAAAAATATTAGAATCAGTGCTGGATATCCATCAATATTTTAAAATACCAGTACTTTTTTCAGTGAAAAATGTTTTGAAAAAGTTTTTTTTCTGATTGTTTTCTCACTGCTACAGCTGCAGTTCTGAACACGGCGTAACCACAAAACATCACTGCTAAAAAACGTTGGATTATTTTACCTCCACATGGAACGCTACAGCCAATCACTGGGAGCATGAGCGGGTCTCGATCACATGATCAACATCTGGACATTTAGTCATCCTTGGTACTACTGAAGTCAGCGGTCCTACAGAGAACCCAACACAGCAGTGTGTGTGTGTGTGTGTGTGTGTGTGAGAGAGAGAGAGAGAGAGAGAGAGAGCTTTAACAGGTGTGCATTTACAGTACAGGAAGTATCTGTGGTTTGAGTGAATCTTTTGTCTTTCAGCAGTCAGTGTACACTGAGACCCAGGGAGTGGCTGCTGCCGTCCCTGACACTGTTTCTTCTTCCAGTAACGTCCAGTGTTTGTGATGATCCTTAAGTAAAACAAACAAAAAAAAATCCACTGTGAAAACGATGAGGTCTGAAAACGACTGGTCGATGTTAGAGATGTTTTTGTTCACAGTTTACTTTCAACAGAATGAGCTCCAGATTTGTTTGATTTCAACCAGCGAGGATTGTCACGCATGTGTATCGATCTTTCATCCATCCACGACCCTGATGGTTTGTCTTTGGTTTCTCCGTCTGTGATGATTGACGTCAGGTGACGCTCCGTGGCCAATAAGCACCAGAGTACCGCTGGTTTTGTACCTGACGGAGTAAATGTAGCTTTTATGCCTTTTATGGTTATCGGCCCCCACAGTTGCATTATGGATCAACGTAGCGCCTGAAGCTAACGGTGTCAGTAAACACACATCAACACCACAGGATGTTTGTGCAGGCGTCGGTGGTTTGATGCCGACCTGTGAACCTCAGGGCGGCGAGCGCGTGCTCGAGCCTTTTCACCCTGTCAAAGCTGTACTTTTACTCTAACACTTGCTCATCATCTCGGGTCTCCTCGACGTGACGGTGGCCGCCTCAGCCGCAGCTATTATTGTTGTCAGGAAACAGATGTGAGTTCACACACTGGAAAGGAGGTCTGTTTGTGACTGTGGTCATGTGTGTCTGCACGGTATGGCTGTGTGTAAGTGTGTGTTTGAAGCAGCATGTGCAGGGCGTGGGCGGGTGGGTTCTGGAAAGTATGACTCGGCATCTCCTACCCCCGCTTTCTGCCCCGTCTATGGGTTAAATGCACATCCACGTCTAGCCGTTCTAAACAACAACACACCAACGTCGCCGAGGACGGGAGGTAGTGCACGTGAGTGTACACGTGTGACTGGGAGGTGACCTCGGTGACCTGTGGTCAGAACCACAGAACTGGGGGGGGGGGGGGTTTTTTTTTTTGGCCTTTAAAAAAGCCACCCGGGGGGAGAAAAATGGGCCATTAGTGCACTATGATGTGAGGTGACACACACACACACACACACACACACACACGTACATGAATCACGTTGTGTCACCTCACAATCAGGACAAATGAAGAATTTGTTCCAGATGATGTACAACATATAGACTGTGTTAATGAGACGGCACAGATGGCTAGAACACACACACACACACACACACACACACACACACACTGATGAGAGCCAAAAACAGCCACACTGGGAAACGGTGAATTCCCCAAACCGCAGAGTGCATGAGAGGGTGAGGGGAGTCATGGGAAAACAGAAGGCAGCGAGCGAGCGAGTGAGCGAGTGAGCGAGCGAGCGGCCGGGGCCAGAACTAAAACAGACAGAAAAGACAAGAGTCAAATCATACACTTCCTGATTTGGCCACGACGATGACGGCATCTGACCGATCAAAGGCTCAGGAGGGAGACTTATCCACACGCTGCGGTCGCTCAGGTCGTCGGCCAGTCTGACACAGGGTGACGGAGGTCAATGACGGCTCTATTCCCCTCCTGACACACTTTGGGAAAACCCAGATCAGAGCAACATTAGGTGTCGGGGCCACTGGTGGCTGTGAAGCTGCTCTGAAGGTGAGCTGAGTCAGGGTCATCTGAGCTCCCACTTTGAACTGAGAGCCAACGACTCACTGCTCTCTGGACCGCTTCTGTTTGTTATGAAAGTTCCTTCCTGTTGCAGCAGTTAACTGACGTTGGTAAAAAACTCCGAGGGTCACAGATCAGTGAGATCACAGCGTGGAGAAACGCTGATGACATTGTTGTGGACTTTTTCTCCCAGATATACCGTAACACTTCCACTTCCCAAATTCACCACAGACTTAAAAACTGTATGGACCGCTGATGTAGACAAGACGCACCGCTGATGTGCCACGCCCCACAGGCTCACTTTGAAAATCTCATCCATCCAACCAGAAGCCTCTTTGTTGTACGCAGGATGTTTATGTTTAGGTATATACATTTTCAGTTCCCTCCATCCACCCCCCCCCCCCCCCCCCCCCCCAGTGTGTCAAACACTTTCATTCGTGTTCATTTCACGACCCACCTCTGCTGAGTGAAAGCACAGAGTCTTTCGAAATGATTGCAAAGCTAGACAGGTGAGGAAAAACCATCGCATTGTATCTGTACTGTACGGCGTGCGCGTTAGCCGACGTTTGCATAAACGTATGACTTTGTTGATTTGATGTTAATGACTTTGATGAAGTTAATGGCTTTGATGTTGTTAATGACTTTAATGTTGTTAATGACCTTGATGTTCTTCATGACTTTGATGTCGTTAATGACTTTGATGGTGTTAATCATCAGTAGAGTTCACTGTGTGTGTAACGCTGTAATTTACTGCTCGTTATTGTGGTCTCAATAAAAAGAGTGAAAGTGAGAGTGAGAAGAGTGAATGTTAGCCGTCGTCCATTACTCACACTAGGTTAACCACAGGTTTTACATCTCTTCTCTCTGCACCAACTGATTCAAACTTCAAATATGACTCACCTAAAACAGTACAGTACGATACAGGAAGCTTGAGAATAAATGATTGTTGGGTGGAGACGCTGGAGACACTGGACACCGTGGGCTTCCTGCTGTTAGAAAAATACAATATACAATCAATAAATAGTTGCTGTTATTCTGGTCAAAGTATTGGTGAAATATTAACAATCAGGCATGTGGTTCCTCTGGGAATCAAACCCAGGACTCTCTGCTCCTGAGGCAGGCGTGCTAACCGTTATCGACTGTTCTCATTACATTGTTCTTATATTTTAGTGTACTTTTGCCACGGAAAAAGTTCATTTTTCATTACAAAAATGTCCGTTGGGCAAAGGGAAGACACGAGACCTACCTGTGCTTCGTGGTAAAGAGGCGGGTGGGTCCAGACTCCATGACCTTTGACTTTGGACACCTGCGCAATCGTGCGGGCTGCCACGTCGAGGTGAGTGTTCAATGGGCCTGACCGTGGCTCAAGTCATGTCCCGGCTCATCTTCACCTCCGTGTTCCTCCACAGATGTTGTTTCTGCGTTACCTGGGAGCCTTGTGTCCTGGTCTGTGGGGTTACGGAGTAGCTGGAGAAAAAAGGCCCAGTTACTCCATCACCTGGTTCTGCTCCTGGTCTCCCTGTGCCAAGTGTTCCATTGAATTGGCTCAGTTCCTCAGCAGAACGCCCAACCTTCGCCTCAGGATCTTTGTGTCCCGTCTTTATTTCTGTGACGTGGAGGACAGTGAGGAGAGAGAAGGTCTGAGAATCCTGAAGAAGGCTGGAGTGCAGCTCACAGTCATGAGTTACAAAGGTGTGTGTGTGCTTCAGTGTAAAGACAATACAAGTGTGTTTCCATATGAACTCATGTTTGTCAGAACCTCTGTCCTCCAGACTTCTTCTACTGCTGGCAAACATTTGTGGCTCACAATAAGAGCAGATTCAAGGCCTGGGACGAGCTGCACCAAAACTCCGTTCGCCTAGCCCGAAAACTTCATCGCATTCTGCAGGTAGAACCTTTAGCAGAACGGCCGACGTCATTTAAGAAATGAACCAATGCTGTTCTTAAAACTGTGGCTTGTTTTGTTTTTCTCTCAGCCATGTGAAACAGAAGATTTGAGAGATGCCTTCAGACTTCTGGGACTGTGAACCTCGCCGTACACTCATCTGTCCAACAGTTTGTTACATCACTACAACTTCTGAATTCACACATTCACACAAAAATGACCAAACACACTTTTAATGACCAGAACAACAGAGTGAGTGTTGTTAACACACGGTGTGACTGTAGTGTCTGTACAGTTTATTTGTTAAATCCAGGTTGGTTTTTTTTTTCCAGGTAGAGTTGAAAATAAAATGTGCAAATTCTAAGAACACTTAGAAATATAACATATATATATATTGTATATCGTGTACTGTATTGTGTAGCATTAATGTTGACAATAAATCCTTATGGAATGTGAAGTCTTGTTGAGTTCTCCTGTCATGACTGTTAACTAGTACTAGTACTACCATCATGACTACTTTAAAAAGAACCAAAACGTTGTCTTTTGTTTAAATCAACCACGACAGATGTGAAACATGAAAACAACAACAACAAAACATTAAAACTTTGCCCACGTTTTTGTTTTTATTTTCAAATAGAAATTCAATCAAATACTAATTATCTGGTTGATAATGTGATGCTCAAAATGGCGCTCACTCTTCGAATAAAACCGTTTCAAGAAGCGGACATTCTAATGTAATTTAACAAATGAAAACTTTAATTTTTAAATGCTCTTTTTGCTCTCTCTCAGAGGGAAAGTTCACGTCAGTTCTCACAGTCGCCGTAGTTTTTTTTGTTTTTTTTTACAGCCGCGATGAAACGGGAGTGATGTGACTGACATCGATGCTAGCAATGTGTAAACTGCTCGTGCGCACATACACCGTCTATTACGGCGCGGCTGCCGTTAACGGCGTGCGGTCACGGCGCTCACGGTCATCTGCGGCGGCGTACACCGACTGAGCAGAAGTCAAGATGGCGTCCGACGGTCAGGTCGAGTACGAGTCCATCCTCTGTGTCAAACCTGAAGTGAACGTTTACCGAATCCCACCGAGAGCATCAAACCGAGCCATCAGGTGAGGCGGGGCGGCGGGGGGAGAACCGGCGGGGGGAGAACCGGCCCGACGGTGATCGCTCTGACCCGGCAGCCGCCGTTCGTGTGCGGTGTCGGCTTTGTTTTTCTTTTTTTCTTACAAGGTCGTGTTGTAAACGCTGCCCGTGTTTAGGTCCGAACCTGCACTGACCGAGGATTAACGTCCCTGGTACAGCCGTGTGCTGGAGGGGGGTGAGGGGGGGGGGAGAGAAAGAGAAAACTGCACTTCCTTCCATCAAACCGCTCGTGTTCGTGTTCGCTGCAGAGATTCGTGTCTGGCCTTTCTGGACCGTTATGTGGAACAAACCACTCCCGGGTCTAAGACGACAACGACGACGACAACAACAACAACAACAATAACAATAACAATAATAATGTAAGATGTCGTCGTTGTTTTTTCTGCTTCTACTTCGAAGCCGCGTCTTGAACAGTTTTCAGACCAATGAGCCACGAACTGATGGAGGCGTCACTCCTGTAAATGATAGTGTAAAAACCGTGTGTTTTGTTTACGTCTGTTTACGTCTGAGTGTTAATGGTTATCTGTCAGTGCTAGGATATTAAAATAATGCTCTTTTGTTCATATTTGTCCTGTTTTGAATGAATTGTTTGGAGACGGTGGTGAGCGCTGGTCAGTTGTTGTCACTGACACTCACTGACAACTGACACTTGGTCTGAAATACTGCTGCAGGTTTTGTTGAATTTATGGAGAGGTGTTTCAGCAGCGTGGCCCCCCCCCCTACCCCCCATCCACCCCCCCCAGTTTGTGTAGTGGTCCGTGAGGAGTGGAGTCTCTGAACCATGTGTCCTGTGTACCAGTGATACAGACCAGTCTGGTCTGTGACCAACCATAACAATGATGCAGACAAACAGACGTCATTGTTGCTGTAGACCATCTGAGTCTTCAGACCGCCCTCCAGACTCACCTGCGCTCGTCTGTCTCTCTGTCTCCCAGGGCTGCGGACTGGAAGCTGGACGCTCCTGATTGGTCAGGGCGGATGCGTGTGACGGCGCGGGGGAAAGTGGCCTACGTGAAGCTGGAAGACAAGATCTCTGGTGAGACCACCGCAGACTGTAAACACTGCAGCTGGTGTAAACCATGTCACTGTATAGTCTCGTGTCGGACGTCACCCTCGGTGTTACTCATCTCTTCCACGGTGACCCCGCCTACAGCCGGGCGTCCGACTGCTTCACAGGAAACAGCCTGATAGTCACCGTCTGTTTCTGTCCTTTTATTTGGACCAGGTTTGAAATACCAGAAGTTGAAAACTGTGGCAGCAGAAAACTCAGAGTTGGTGAATGATATGCTAGCGTTTACCTGCTGATTGGTGTCACCTGGTCACCTGGTCACCTGGTGACACCCTCCGGGGGTCGTCTTTGGGCCGGTCTGTAAAGAAATTCTGCAGACTTTTATTTTGAAAACATGGCTCATGAAGTGAACTGCTAATTAAACCCTATCTTTTTTCTTTGGGCCCTGTTCTGGTGCAGGCCCCAGGGGTTGGTGACCGTGTTTCTAACAGCCCCCCCTCTCTCTCTCTCCTACAGGGGAGTTGTTCGCCCAGGCTCCAGTGGAGGAGTACCCTGGGATCACAGTGGAAACAGTCAGTGACTCCAGCCGGTACTTCGTGCTGCGTATCCAGGATGACAGCGGTGGGTGACGACTGTTGGGGGGGGTTTGGTTGATGCTGAGATGTGAACCCACGTCTGAACACGTGACTTTCTTCTTCGTTTCCCTTCAAGGCCGCAGTGCGTTCATAGGCATTGGCTTTGGAGACCGCTGCGACGCCTTCGACTTCAACGTGGCTCTTCAGGACCACTTCAAGTACGAGCTTCAGCGACTCGTGACCGTTAGCCAGTGAATGGACTTCCTCTTCATCCTCGTGTTTGTGGTTTGTGTTTAAGGTGGGTGAAACAGGAAGATGAACTGAAGAAGCAGGCACAGGCTCCAGACTCCGCCCCCAAACTGGACCTGGGCTTCAAAGAAGGACAGACCATCACTCTCAATATTGGGGTGAACATACATTTAGTTTATAAACATATATATTTATATATATATATGTGTGTGTGTGTGTGTATATATATACAATAGTTAGTAGTTTAGTTTTAATAGCGTCTAATCTAATCAAAGTTTTTCTTTTTTCTTTTTTTTTTTAGCAATCAAAAAGGAAGGACCGGTCTCGCCCTCAGAGTTCAGGTGGTTTTGGGCTCCTCCCACCTCCACCTGGAGGAAAACTAGCCCCGCCTCCTTCATCCAGATCTACCAATCACAACACACAGCCGTCTGCAGCAGTGAGCAGCACTGGTACGTGATGTCATACAAAGGCCCTCAGTCTGGGCTCATTAAATGTTTTCAGCTCCAGATCCGTTCATAAAAGCACACTTTAGGAAAACATGAGTGACATTACTCAGCGCTGCACTCACGCGGCCAAATCTTAATTCAGAAGTCACGGGCAGTTTTATGGAGGAGCTAAAGGTTAGCCTTCAACTTTATGACTGTTGTAATTCTCCACTTTATTTCCGCACTCGGAGTTTGTTCTGGAGACACAACTGTTTGATTTAGAGCGGGGCCTCGGAGGTGAGCTGGCCGCCGCCGCGCGGAGGTCACACGGACGTGAGGAGGCGTGGAATAGAAACCAGATGAAGGTCATTTCTTTGATGAAGGCTCTTCTTTCCTCGGCTCCGTGGCGTGGTCACCGTCTCCTCCGTGGAGGCGCTGACCTGCTGTAATTCTAGCCCTGAGTGTGACAGCTCCGATCTCCGCCCTGGGCTTCACACAGACAGATATTATACAGACGGGAAGAATCGTTCAATTACTGTGGAGATAAACAGACCCCCCCCCCACCCCCCCCCCCCCCCCCCCCCCCCCCACGCGAGAGGAAGGGCACCCCACACGCCTAGCA